CCCCAAAAAAAAAAAAAAAAAAAAAAAAAAAAAAAAAGATGGAACCACCTTAAGAACCAAAATCCATTAGGTACTTCTTGAGGCCACCATCTCAGAGAAACTGTAACAAATATTTGGGGGCTCAAATGTATCTAAAATGCCCAAGACATTTGAAAGTAGATACCCTGAGTGGAGCAGTGGTTCTCAGTCCTCTGCAGAGCATCCGGAAATGTTTGGAAAGATTGTAGCTTCTCACAGTGGGAACTTGTTTGGCCCTTGGAAGGAGGGAGTCAGAACTGTAAGCTTCCTGCAGTTACACAGAACTCCAGTTTTGGACAGGATGCCCTGGTACACTTCTGAAGCACAGTATGTATTCACTACAGTGTGAGACTTTAAATCACTGGGAGATTTTAGGTTACTCTTTCGTGAGACTAAGAACTAAACATCTAGTAGTTTTCAACCACACGTGCACATCACAGTTCCTAGGATGTTTTTAGAATTAGAGCCTTACTTCACACAATGTAGAATTGAATGGATGGACTTTGGCATTTATATTTTTTGTTGTTGTTTTTGTGTTGTTTTGTTTTGTTTTATACCAGGGATCGAACTCAGGTCCTTGCGCTTGTGAGGCAGGCAGCGGAACCACTGAGCTAAATCCCTGGCCCGGCATTTGTATTTTTGAAAGCTTCATAGAATCACTACTTCAGATATCTGTGTTTCCCAAAATGTATATACATATTCCATAAAGGTCTAACACAGTTTACAGTAGACTGTGTGATGGCAGGATGTGGGGTCATCAGATGTCTGGCTTTGAGTCAAACTTAAAGGCTGGCAGCTCAGTGGGTGTCTGAATCCCCAGTGAAGCATCCCAGGCAGTGATTATATGGTCTTCATCAGGAGACCCAAATGCAAAGCAGTTTTATTTCCACATTAGTAGGGTTAGAAAATGATATTTTCATTAATATAGGTTTTCAAAATCAACATCAGAGGAGACAAATAGGTATACTGTTTACTAAAAAGGGCAGCCAAGATGAATAGTTTGCAGGGTTGAGTCCGCTCGGAGATACAAGCACATGGGCACCCCGAGATACAGCCTTATGAGCGCCCCAGGACGGGCTAATGTGCTGCTACTTGGTACAATCCCTAGGTGCTCTTAGAAGACACCATGAGTACACACAGGTGTGGAATAAATACCTCAAGGATAACTTGTCATCTGAATAAGGAAGAAAGGAGTGCAGAATAAGCAAACACCAGCCCCAACTTTATATCTCCTCTTATCAACTGTGTCCTGGCAACAGGAGTTCAGTACTTACCTCTGAACTCAAGCGCAGGTGCTGTGGAGGAGAACCCTGCACCCAATGCAGCCCTCCATATAGGGGTCCCCCACAAGATATTGCGGAAGGGGAAGTAGACTAAAATAGGACTGGCTCACCTGCTACTCAGAGACTCTGGGGAGGTTGGGATCCTTCTGACAGCTCCTGATTTTAAGGAGACAGGTCTACTGTCCCACTGAATTCTGGGAAGGAAGGCCTTTCCGCCTCGGCTCCGCCCACTTCCCGATAGGCTCCCCAGCTGCTCTTGAGGGTGTGCACACCCGCACTTCCATCCTGCTGAGCTAAGGGTTGGGGTTCAGACTGCCCAGAGTTGTGAAGTGGCCTTTTCTGGCCACAAGCTTTCCCTGTGGTTCTAGGCTGCTCTGTGGGAAACCCAGCATCTAGCTTGCCTCTCTCACACCACAGGCCCTAGACTTGAGAAGTTAGCAAAGATGGTGCCCAAGACCTCTGAAGGAGCAGCCCAGCATCTCCTTCTCCCCCCACTTTGATCCTGTTGCTGCATTATTTTTGTTACATTAAGCTAGGTCTGAAGGAGGAATCCAGATTCCTTTGTTCATCCAAGTAACAAAACCCTCCCGAGGTGGCATAAAGACAAGGGACCTTCTATTTGTCTCCTTGATGGTGCGTTATTTAAACATCACACTGAAAATAAACTCAACAAAGCAAAATCTATTGCAGAAAATTCCCTTCCCTGCACATTCTTGGGTGCAGAAAGAAGTGTCTTTGTTAGTTTGGCCTAAATTTAAGGAAAAAGGAATTCAGTTGGCATTTTTTAAGCAGCAATGACTCACACAAAGGAAAAATACAGTAGTGAGCCTGGGCTGTGTACTGCCCTGCATTTCCCAAGCTGCGTGTTCATTTGTGTGGCAAGTGAGGTGTGGTCATTCAATCAGCTGCCAGCACTTTGCAACGTCAGCTCTGTAGCTTAGCCTTAACTCCAAATATCCATGCAATGTTTGTAACTACGTTCTCATAAGACTACATCTTGGTCTCATGGAGTGAAGTTATGCTGTGGGTCAGATGCCCTAGTAGAATGTAGAGATGGAACAGAAAGTGGTGATAGCATTAGAACAGCATTAGAATGTGAGAAAAATGAATCGTTAATTAAAACCAGGAACTGCAAAAACAGTACGGAGGAAGACAGCTACCCAAACCCTAGTTATACAACAGTTGAGTCTAATGAAAAATAGCTCTGATTCTGTTTGTAATGTTTCTCTGGTTTCTGATAGAGGAAATGATTTCAGATACCTTTTGTATCTGAGAATAAAACAGCGTTTCCCAAACAGGTCCTTATGTTCTCAGCAGTCTACTTGTGCAGTTTCAGAGGGAAACCCCTACAGAGTAAAAAGGCTTTATTGCATGGATATGACAGGAGAACCTCTGTTGTTACAGAGATGAGTGTGGTAACATCCCGATTCCTTCTATACCACTTGGTGGGAGAGAGGTAGGTAGAGGTTCACGTTGGCTATTCTGAAAGCGAGTGGTCCCTAAGAGTTCTTTCCGTCTAACTAACCAATATGTCTTCCTTCTCCCATGCCTTCTCTCCTGGAAAGTGTGCTTTCTCTGTTTACCCCCAGTTCTGCACTGGTTGACCTAGGTAAGGTGTGAATAATTTTTAGGCACGTCTAGAAATTCCTTGTGAGTCCAGTGTGGTTACAGCCACTTGAACAAAGAATGTAGCAGCAAATGTAACACTTGCCTCTTCAGAAGTCAGTCAACCTAGTTTCCAGGAAGCCTGCCCTTGCATTTCCCAAGGTTAAGCCAGGTTGGGTCGTCCTGAGGAGCCCCAGCTTACCTATCTCTCAGGGGTTTATGTTCAGCAAACTTTAATTCTTGGCATTTCCTGGCTTGAGGATTTCTTTGTTAAAAAAGAATGTTAAAGCTTGTTAGTTCATAGTTGTATGGGTTTTTCTGTAGTCACTGTTTGAGCACCACCCAAACCCAGCATCTGAAACTAAAATCACAAGCGATTTCAGTAAACTGTCCACCTCTTGGCTAAAATGTACTGGAATATAAGAATATACAGTCAGTTAATTTTGGCAGTTACTCAGCCTTTTAAAAAGTGGTCATGGAATTTTATTTACTTATATTGGAATTTTTAAGTAGTGTTGTCTTACCCAAATTCCTGTATAAGGGCATTCAAACTCAGATCATAAATTTTACTTTTGTTTTAATTTTCTCTCAAACTATTAGTATGTTTTTAAACATATTAAATAATTTAAATGGTTCTTAATCTTTGACCAAAGATAAGTGTGTAATAAAGTAATACAATATACTAACTTAAAAACTAAGGGCTGGGGATTTAGCTCAGTGGAGCTGGTACCTGCCTGTCAGGTGCAAAGTCCTGAATCTGATTCCTGGTACCAGGAAAAAAAAACAAAAAACTAGAAGCTTTCAGGAAAATGTAGAACACTTATTTAGCAAAGTAGTAAAGCACCCTAATTGCAGGACTGCCGCAATTTCTTGACTCTATGAAGAGCTTTATGATCCTACATTCCACAGAGAGGGATGCCTGAAAATTCTTAATTCCAAATCTAACTGCTTTCCATGTTTATTTTCTGAAGCCCGTGTGTGTGTGTGTGTGTGTGTGTGTGTGTGTGTGTGTGTGTTTAGAGTCACACTGCTTATGTAATCTGTTTTAACAAACAAGAGGAGTAGGTGGTTATAGAAAGATGAGAAACATCACTTGGAAAGTACCTGCTTTAACCTGACATTCAGACTTTAAGAGAGTTCACAGAGGGGCCAACGAGCCATTCTTTCCTGTTTGCTGCAAATAACTTAGTAAGGGAAGATAGTTGAAAAGCTTTTTAAAGTGGCTTATGACATCTTTTATTCCTTAAAGTCATAAAACTCAGTTTAGTGGATAGTTTATAACTTTTCCCTTCTTTCTCGTGAATGCCTATAGTTTTTTTCATTCCTTCTCTGTTATTCCTTTTGTATCATTAACTCCAAAACAGACAAAATAGACTTATATTTTTTACACAGAAAATGCGTTGCCTAATATCAGTCATTTATCACTTTAGATTAATGTGTGTTACACACATGGACCAACGCACTGCAATGAATGGAACCCTTGTGTCCTGCAAAGGTGTGGCAATAAAAGTAAAAAACGAAATTAAAATGTTCCCCAAAAGGGAGCGTGCCAAAGTGACTGATTACCAAAAGTAGTTTATTCTGGGGCTTAAGGGGTGCCTGGGAATCTGAGCACCTCCATCTGGAAAAGAACGCCTGTGTCCCAGGCTGTGCACAGAGGGGCCAAGCATTACTCCAGCGCGTTCAGACCCCATCTAGTAGGGGCCACAGAGAAACCACCCAAAGGTAGAAAGTTAGGCTCCCCCAGCCTTGGACCTCTGAAAATCCTAACCAGGGAGGGAAACTCAGGTCTTGGTCCTTTTCCTCACTTTAGAAGGAATGCAGTGGATTGAGAAGTATTAATAGCTATTTGTTCAGAGTTACTGATACTTTTTTTTTTTTTTTTTGGTACCGGG